AACCAATAGCCATTTTCTATAAAGATTGAATAAATAGTATAATGAAATAGATTTATATGGAAAATGAATAATAGAATATAACGTTCTATTAATACTAAATTAATAAGTTTTTATTAAAAGATTAGTTGAACTTTAATTGAAAAATATAGTATCTGATAATAAATTTTATTATAGTCAAATAATAAAAAAAGAAACTGTAAATGAATATAAACATTTATTAAGAAGAAATATGTCAGCCCCAAAGCCAATTCCATTGTCATCTCTCTCTCCAAGAGATCTTGCTGGCTTACATAAAACTCTTCAAAACGAATTACAAAACCTTCAAGCAAGTTATGAACAATTATTTTCAGTTCAACAAACTTATTTAGACAATAAAAGTATTATTAATGCATTGACAAATGAAAAAGTAAAAGGTCAGCCAATGCTTGTTCCAATGAGTCCTTCACTTTATATGAAAGGAGACATTGACAGTTATGACCGCGTTATTATTGATATTGGTGCTAATTATTTTGTATCAAAAGTTTGTTTTTTAGTATTAATAAAGAATTATTCTTAAATCATTAACCAATAGAAATTACCTGCTGCTTTGGAGTTTTATGATAGAAAAATTAAGCTTATTGAAGGAGAAAAGGAAAAAATTTTAAAAATTGTTAGTGACAGAAAACAAATGATTGCTGCCGTCCAAGAGCAGATGGCAAAAACACTAGCTGCTGCCCCATCAAAATAAGTAAATCTAATAAATTTCATAACAAGTATATTTTGTTTATTTCTTTTTTTAAAAGCTTGCTACATACCATACTGCATGTATTTGTGCTGGGAACCAACAGATTAAACAGAGGATGATATTAATCCAGAAATGTGTAGTACATCCTCCTAATAAACCAACAGCTAATGGTGGAAGGATGATAGCTAAAATCACCCATAGACAACACCTACAACCGCATTCCATTTTAATTAATTTGATATGTCTTCTTAAACAATTCTCTTAACAGAAGTTGTCTTTTCTGTTATTTTTATTTTCTCAATCTTATCTAATAATCATATTTCCAAGATGAATTTCATTGATGAACAGACACTTCTTAATCCAGAAACTTTACAACAAACAAGTGAATTTGCTTCAGAAAAACCATGTATTTGTTTTCATTTGTCTCTTAGAGCGGTTTGTATTTCTCTTATTAATTGATGACATGAAATAATCACAATATTTAATTATAGAGAGTCTTTGGATTTTTATGTACATTCACGTTTGGTGGTGTGTTTTTGATTCTTTGTATCCCTCTTCTTGGAACATTACTTGTAGCACCCTCTGTTTTTGGTATTTTCTATTCTATGGGACTTATTCTACTTTTTAGTTCAATGCTTTTCCTTTATGGACCAAAACAACAACTTTTAAAGCTATTTAGTTCTCCTCTACGTTGTATTTCATTCTTTGTGTGTGTAATTGCTACAATATTTACTTTCTTCTGTGTATTTAAATTTAGGTATATTTTATTCATTTTATTGTCTATCATTCTTCAGTTAGGAGCATCCATGTGCTATGGATTTTCACTTTTACCATTCTCACAAAGTTTGACAGAACGATGCTTTAAGAAACAATCAACTAATTAAACAGTTCATCTATTAAACTTAATTTTGCTTAGTTCCTTTCACATTCCTAAAATCTCAAAAGTACGATCTTAAAATGTTTAAAGGAAAACATTCATGGAACAATTGAATCTTGAAAAGAAGATTGTTATCACATTCACTGGAGCTCCAGGAATTGGAAAGAGTCAACTGATAAGTGTTATGACGAGTGGAAGATTTACGAGTCAATATGAACCAACTATTCAAGAGCATTATACTATGAAAATGGTAGAAGGGAATAATATCTTCAATCTTAATATTGTAGACACATCAGGATCACCAGACTATTCTAAACTTGCATCAGGAGCAATAGGAAATAGTGATTGTATTGTAGTTTGTTATTGCCCTTATATTCCTAAATCCTTTGATAGGGTGGTAGAAGCTATTAAGGAAGTGAGGACAATATCAGATGACATACCAATCATTATTGTTGCTACTAAAATGGATTTGAAAGATGATAAAGTGACGATGAATAAAATAGGTAAACAAAAGATTCGTATGGTAAAAGATTTGAAGAGCGAGTTAAAGAAAAGCAAAATTTCAGGATTCTTTGAAACATCGGCAATAAGTGGAAATTCTTATAAAGAAATATTGGAGACAGCAATTAAATATACTCAAAAGTCATCTATTTGGAAGAAGAAACAATAATTTATATTTTGGTTTAATCAATGATAGTTCATTTTCATTATCTATAAAGGAATAACTACATTCTGAATAATACTTCAAAATAATGAATTATAATTGAAGTAAAAAAATCAGAGAGAGGGCCATGCGTAACAAATTGTGGACGGCCTTTTTCTTCATACGAAGATTTTACTCACTCATCATTTTATTTGAACCTGAAGGATCTAATTTTCTTCTTTTTCTTTTCCTTTTTTCTAATTATTTAAGAATAAATAATTATTATGGGTTTAATTTAAATAG